TCATTCAAATGATTCAAATGATTTTATTAACTTGCGTTAACACTAGTAACAGATTAGATCGCTCTGGCTATAGTCTTCCACTCTTTTTCGTACCGTAATTACTATAACATGACAGTATCCATGACCACTGTCGCCCTCTGGGATTGGGAACGCCGTAGGTATAGTACAATCGGACCGCAGTGTCCTGGTAATCGAGTGGTAGAACAGGGTCAGATGTTTGCTAGTAATGTGACTGTTACTAATTTGCCAAAATGTAGAAATCACAGCAATTAGAACCCAAGAAATTCTTGTTTCGATGCTTATTTCCAATCCTGATTGTTACTGACGTGATCTCTTTCTAATTGTTGTGCTTTCGTTTCTCAGGAAACTAAGAATCATTCAATCATCAAGCTTTGTATCCTTGTAACTTTGTACTTCTCAGATATTATTTCTATATGTATCTAACATTATTTTTTCATTTTTAACTGCAGAATATGGTGACATAAGTTGGTAGAGTAAAACACCCTGTATCCACAAAATAATTTTTCTAAAATATCACAAAATAATTTTTTATGTGAAAATGATACTTTCAATCTTAGTGAACAATTTGTAATACCATTGTCAACCTCTGAGAAATATAAATAATTTTTTAACTTTTCAAGAATCCTCTACTTTGTTCAAAAAATGTTTCTCTTCCTAATTATTAATTATATTAATTTCTGTCACAATTAGATTTTATTTCACCGTACTTCATACATTATTTTATTATTTTCGAATGAATAATTCCAGCACGTTTACTGTTCGTACTCCCAGACAGAAAACTTGTATCACACTAAACTCTGACGTCTGAGGTAAACCATTTTATAGTTTTGTCGCAATTAGAGGACCTTGTTTTCCTTTCTGACTAAAATTCTTCGAACTATAATCTTAGATAACACATAGAGCTGTAGAGTACCAATCGATATAAAAACTGATATCGGAAATAAAGACCAACGAAAATGTTGAACAGAATACAATTTCCTATCGTATTCGTACATGTCTTATAGTTTTGTCGCAGAGTGTAGATAAACGAAGTGCTCACCTGGCAAAATATCAAGTTTGGTGACAATCCACGCAAATTGGATGAAACTGTCTTCGTGAAATATTCAGGCGGAAGTCACACAGACGACAAAATTTGAAATTGTTGACAACTTTGATATTATAGTACTACTTTATGCAGAATGTTCCTAATCATCGTTCTAGATAAGAACAAATACATAATTGCATTTACAAAAATTTTGAAAACATTTCACTTATGATGAAAAGCAAATATTCTACAAAATTTAACCTTTTGCTATATCTTGATGGATCTGATTCACCCACTCACAGATTAAATTTGATTTTCACTCAAATTTTTAATACTTCAATTTGAAGTTTAAGTCCAATTATAAGTTACATAGTCAAGGGTCAAACTATGTACAAATTTTAATATTTTAATTTTCTTTATTTTTTTTTTATCTTGTAGCAGTGGATATTTAGTTTTGATTGACGCATCTGATAACATGACAAGGGATTGAGAAGAATTTCTAGAAAATCCTAGTACAATTTTTTGTTATTGTGTGAGAGTGAAAGTCAACTATCCCTTGCATAATTCTTTATCGTAAATATCTTACAAAGACTCAATCATATAAGTTTAGTGCAACTTACAATAATAGTCAACTAACGAAACTAAATCTGTCACCCAGCAAGGCAACATATTTCCTTAATTTGCAAATCGCATTCGCGACTGTTTGTGCATATGTGAGCTTCTACCTGTCATCAGATTACATCATCAAAATTTACATTTACAGTTGTGATCACGAAAATTAGGTGTAGATCTGTACTAACCCGTAATTGAAACAATCTAACCGCTTCTATTTACTCATACATCATACAGCGATGTACTCGTCACACATTCAGGCGAATAGAGAACATATTTGCGATTCAAGTAGAACGGAGGATAAGTGATATTACCTTGGTCATTATTATATATATTACAGATAATATATCTGCCATTCATACACAACAGAGTTTGCTTTAAATAAATCAATACACATTTATCTAAATCTGAAAACATGTATTAAGATGAAGATATAGAGATTTGAGTGAAATGTGTTAGGGATTGTTGGGTATACTTTTAGTTTTAGAACGCCAAATTTTATGATTTTAGTAACGGAACTATGTGCATGCTGGTTTATACTGATCCTCAGAGCACTTAGAATTTTTGAGGTACGAAATTTGTGACTTATCTTTACTACCGATGGCAATCTTCAACTGGACGTTCAACAGCTGGCAACGATCCCATTTTTGCTGGAGATACTGCATCCGTGTGTGGATGGTGGTCGTTAAGGACTCATTCTTGCCCATCTTCAAATAGTTGTCTACCGGGCATAGGACAGTCTTGATTATCACCTACTGCTCTATCAGAACATTTTCCATTTTGCAACATCTTGATCTGTAAATCTTAAGATGAGAATTATCTTAAATTATAAGCATACGATGATGGTCATCTTAAGTTGTAAGTCAGTATACGGTGATAATCATCTTAAGTTATAAATCAGTATATGATGGTAATCATCTTAAGTTATAAGTCAACATAAGATCATAATCATCTTAAATTATAAGTCATCATAAGATAATCATCTTGAGCTATAAATAATGTCATAACGATGGCCATTTTAAATGAAATTATTTTATTATAAAATTCCCTGAAGTAGTCAAGTCCCATACCCTATACCCTGAACAATGAAATATATTTGCAAGATATTGTAGACAATCCTTTACAAAATGAAACTCCGTAGAGTTTAATCTTCTCCCTGCGTACATAAAATATTCAAAATATCTATCTTCTTAAAAATCAATCAAAGCATACGAATACTTATGCAGTCTAAGCGTTTTCCTTTCATTTGGTATTGAAAATTCATGGAGCGTAATTACACCTCTGTACACGATTTTCGTTAAAATATTTATACACAGGGAAGGTTAATACGATATTTGAGCGTGTTGGTTTTTAATAATTTCTCGCAAAATTTGTAACAAGTTTGGTGTGGAACGCCGGTTGAAATCCACTGAATTAGAGATTGGGCTACTAAATTAGGGTACATGACCTGATACATTAGTAGGATTAATTTTTATCTTTGAAATTAGGAACTTGAGACATTATTCAATATTCAACATGCTATCGTTTTGTGACAGTTTAATTCATTAGTCATTTGAAGTCGTTCGAGATATTTTGAAAGTGTTCTATGCAATCTCTGCTTGGTCAAATAAATATAAATTGGATGACTAAATGACAATTACGATATTCTATGCTCTTCGTTAAGCTTGATAACCTTTACTGTTTCCGAGAGACTTCGAACGATCATGCTTGATAGCTTGTTTTCTGAACAGAAATAGCTAGGTAAATTGTAATCGAATTTTCTGGAATCTAGTTTCCCAGACTCAATTGTGATTGACGTATCATGAGCGGAGTGCTGGTTAACAGTGGTCTGGGTCATACCAACCGGTAGCGTAGTGGCTTTTCCTAATGGAAGGCGTTCCTTAATTCTAATTGGCTACCAAGTAACTTTCGCATCTGCCATAGAAGGACCATGCAACTCTGACCAGAAGTTCACACTTACTACAATCTACAAGAGGTTCTACTACAGGCCATAATTCAAGAGGTATAACTCTCGAACCATTAGAAGTTGCTTCGTTTAGGAATGTTGGAACAAATATTAAACAACCGTATTTTTAATACTTGAATGGATATTGTACATCGTATACACTGGTACATTTACGGAAAAATATCTCTGGCGAGTGGTAGAATTGAGGTCAGATCTAGCTAAAATGTAAATATTCGATATGGAAGCACTTTCATACTCTTTCAATTTATGAATTTAGACATGTATGAGATAAACAAAGTTTTAAGTTCAGGTATTCATTGATTTACAAACTTGAATATGTCGACGATTTAGGAGTTTAAAAATAACTAATGAGTCCCCTAGAGTACGTCTAAGTAGTGTGTCTAGTGTACCTAGTGTACTTAGTGTACCTCTAATTATTGCATCTAGTATACCTGCTGCACGTACAAGTGATGTATCCAATGCACCTAGTGCACCCATAATTAGTGCAACTAGCATATGTATAACGATATGTAGTGCACTTAATGTACTTATAACTAGTGTGCTTAGTGTACCTGTACTTAGTAGACCTACTACTTAGTCTACCTATATCTGATGCACAAAGGTGTACTTATAACTAGCATATTTTGTGTCCTTATAACTAGTGTACTTAGTTTAACTACAACTAGTATGATCTAATGTACCCAGTGTCCTTATAACTAGTATATAAAATGTACCTAGTGTACCTAAGACTGGTATATCTAATGTAACTGGTGTACCTGTAAGTAGCATATTTTGTGTCCCTATAACTAGTGTACTTAACGTACCTGCAACTAGTACATCTAATGTACCTAGTATCCTTATAACTAGTATATTTAATGTGACTAGTGCACCCATAACTATCATACCTAGTTTACTAGTCTACCTATAATTAGTATCCCTATAACCAGTACATCTAATGGACCTACAATTAGTATTCCTATAACTAGCGTATCTTGTGTCCTTACAACTAGTGTGTCCATAACTAAAATATCTAATAACTCTCGTGTACCTTTGGCTCGTGTAGTTAGCATATTTATGACACAGAGGTGGTGTTTTGTCAAAACACCCCGTACATTTTTCCCGTATTGTAACCAAAGAAAATTAGATATACGTGATTTGCAAAAGTGACGCGTGCGATATTGCGTAGGACACGAGCCGATTGACAGCAGTCTCTTCTAGTATAGTTTCAGGAGGGGATGATGTGGTGTAGTGGGAGGTGGACAGGCGCTCCGTGTCGTGGAGCACTCTGGGTTGAGTCAGAACGAACCGGCAAGAGGGTTGAAAGGGGAGGGGGATCCTCGTGCGCGTAGGATATACAGGATACCTCGGGAACTCGGAACTTCAGTCTGGACGCGGCAAGCGTTGTCTGCGTCGATGGTGAGTCATGTGCGAGAAACGTGGTATGTGCACGCGTAAACGACAAGTGCCTCTTCTGGTAGTGACTACTTTGTTAGTTGGCGTGCGTCCAGAACTAGTCGGTGAGTACGCAAATATTTTTACTTTTTAATTCATCGATCGTCACACGTCAGATTTTCTCCGCGAGCAATCAATCGAACGCACCTCGTACGCGTATCATATTTTTGACAGCTCAGTGACAGCAGCGCGAAGTCGACTGCGAGACCAATTTCTTTAACGAGAGTTTGCACTTGACCGCGGAATTTTCTTTCGAAAGTCCCTCGCTTTATGCGTAATTAAAATTAACGGGTATGCGCGTCGCAAAGCGAATTTTACTATTAGAAATTTTATGGAGGGTGGGTTAGAATTTTATTCGAGGAACTGTTCGTTAATGCGAATCGAATCGAAATTGAGTTCTGGATGTTCCCGTCGATCAAAGTAAATTTTCACATTATCAATTTTTGGAATAAAGTGAAATGTAAAAGGTTATTCAATGAGGAACTGTTCGTTAATTCGAACCGCACCGAAATTGAGTTCTGAATTGACATGTATTCATGTCGATCGCAAATTTTCGTATTAGAAATTTTACGAAGAAAGTCAAACGAGGGTTTTCTATTCAATAAGAAACCCAACCGTTAATGTGAGCCGAAATTTTGGATTGATGTGTATACACGTCGAGCGCAATTAACCGGCTAAGAGGTGACTGACATTAACTACGCGTTTAATAATTTAAAACGAGTATTTTGAAATAAAATAGTGTTATAGTGCAATGTATAATCACAGTGAAACAGATTAATAATACAGAAATAATATCAAAAGAATTCATCAAAGTTCTGAAGAAAGTTTGCTGCCTACAGTAAAACTACCTTTGAGTGCGAATGGTTAAGAACGTTCATTAAAACCTGATATACTTTTCTTAAGAAATAAAATATTTTTCTTAACATTTACTATATGAAATTTATACCTTAATAAATAAGTATAGTAAATAAAGTAAATTAAAGATCATAAGAAACTGATAAAAACGAAGATTATATGAGTAAAAGATTGAGTTTCTAACAGATCTAGGTTTATTCCTCAAATTTTTCTTTTTATGATTTCTCGTAATTGGACACATGAGAATTCTTCAGCTTGCGTTGACACTTTCTATACCTCACCTAAGTGCATAAGATAAAGCTAATCCTTTAGTATATGACGTGTTATCGGCTCGCGAAGAATTCGATGCTGAAGAAATGGATTTCGTGTGCTCGTTTCATGAAAAGCTGCAAGAAAATTAAGTTTCAGGATTAACTCTTGGTTCATCAATGAAATATAATTTTTAGTTCAATATTTGAAAATAATATGACCACAGTTTCCAAATTCTGTGATTTAATGATGCATAGTTATGTCGTTTAACAAAAATATATCTATAAAAATTGTAGCAAGCATTGTAATTTAATTGAACCACTTCGAAAACTTTCTGTAATTTACTTCGCACGTGTGTGATTGCTCCGGATGTTTAATTGATTTCAAACCCGATATTTCCAATAAAATTTATAGTTAAATATGTAATAGCATTTGTCTGACTTCTGAAAGCTCTGTAACGGTGATTTTAGATTTAGACAGCTTTGCTCTAATACATAATTTCATAATGCAAAAATGTTTAAATCGCAAAAATCACGTAGCTCGAATGAAATTTACTTATGTTAATAATAAATCATCGAATGTGTGTATGCATTTAAAAATGAGAGAACAAAATTTGCTGTTAATACAACAATAATAATGAATATTTCAAATATTCCTGATGCATAATAACGAAGCTATTTTATCCAGTTAAATATCTATGAAGATGAATATTTTGCATAAAGAAGTGATTTTATTTGCTATCGCAATAAATTACGTACGGTATGTACAATAATAATGTGAATTATTATTATAAAATAAACGCGAAATTGAAAAATAAATACGAATTGTCATGATGAAATAAATATGAATTATTACGATAAAATATATATGCAACTTTCATTTGTTTAACATTTTTAAAACCATGTTGCACGCGTACGCGAGCATTAATTCTGTAATTAATTAAACAGAATAATTCCGCAGCGTTTATAAATAAAGATTTACTGACTTGGAAGTAATTTTTCACGAGCATCGTTAAAAAGTTCATTTATCGATGCTTATTTAGTATTTGACGTCGTAGTTACTGAAACACGTTTCTTAAAGCAAACCAAACACCGTCTTAACTCATAGACCGGCGCATTTCTTGAAAACGTAAATACGGCTGTTGCGATGAGTTCGTGAATATAAACAAAAAAGTTGAAAAACGTTCTACTATGCAGTGGAAATGAAAACCAAACGGCACATTCATTCTTTCATTTCATTCGTTCATTCCTGATTTTATCAAGTGACAATTTTAATAACCGTAATCTTAATGCGTTGACCGATATAGTGCGAATGACATATCTTACGATTACTATTACGAAAAATACTTAATCATTTTCTTAATAATTTGAGTGAAAAATATTTCATAAATTATATTGTAATTTTACGTTTTAAATTGTTACTTCATGATATCAGTTATTTATACGTGTTATCATTTTTTAATTATTTATTTTGTTTTCACTACGGATTTCAATATGTCACATGTGGAGTTGGAGCACGTGTGATAATTGATCGTAGTTATATTTCTTAATTGATAAATAATTACTTATGATTTACTGTTTACATAACAATCTTTGTTACTTATAATTACTTACATAGTAATTGCTAAATTATCTTACAATTATTTAATAATCAAAAACTGAATTTATTAATCGGAAACAAACATTTTCTGTTCCCAGTATGTACATGTATCACAATACGTTTCTTATATCTTAGTTATTGTTAAAGAATAAAATCACTGGTAATTTCATATTTTTGTTGTTAAAAAAGTTATTCTGCACATTCTTAACACGTTCGCTGTTATGTCGCGTCAGCGACGAGCATAATGCGGTTAAATAATTAAAAAATAAAAGCAGTGGTCAGAATACCATTATGACGACATTAACATTTTAAAATAGAAATTTGAAATATATTAAAACATTAATTGTATCTATATACAAAAAAGACATATTTTATATAGTATATAACAGTCAATTTTTTAGTATATCATACTACATATGAAGGTCTCTAATGTAACATATGTGTTCACTAGTTGGCTATCACAAATAATCGACAATTTAAATAAAATAATTAGTAATAAATGAGTACTGAAAAAACAAGCCTTTTCTGCTAGATTAAATCATAAGAGCAAATGTATTTTTTTAATTTTACAAAGTAAAAAGAAAACATTTCCAAATTACCTGCACGGTAAAAAATAGTTACCGTATGTTTCCCAAGACGAGATCAGAAAACTTTAAACAAAGTTTCATGTACTGAGTTTTTCACAGTTATTAAATATTCGAAATACAAAAGTTTCCCTATGATATTAAGCAGTTTTATTTGTTCTCAACCTTTGCTGTAATTTATTTTTCTTCAACAAATTAATATTCCAACCGTTCTTCCTGCATCGGAGTTTCGTTTCGGATGTTTGAGCTGGATCGAATCCGAAATTCTATAGGAATTACTAGAGAATTTGCAAGAGTGTATCGAACAACTATTGCTACCAATGTGGCTCGATACTAGAATTACTTAACGCGGAGTAGATCAGCTTACCCTTTAGAAATGTCAAACGAAAACCAAAGCCCCTCGTGTGGTTTGATAATGCTGAGCATTCTGGAAACTTTCTCACTGGATGTACGGGGATGTTTCAACATTGTAACGAACTCCATTTCCATGCTTAAGTCTTGAATTATTTAATCTTTTTGTGAAAAACATTGTTTCATAATTAAAACTGTTACGAGTAATTTTGTTTAGTTTTTTAAAGGTTACAGAAACAAATTGTAGATTGATTAAATTTTTGTTAGAATGTTGAGAAATATCAGTGTAGGTGACATATTTAGGTAGACTTTAATTTTTAAATTGTATTTAAAATGAAATAAGAATGTAAAAGCTAATATGCAGTGGTGTCTACATATTCCACTGTTATTATTGTATACAGTGTGTCTCACAATTATTCCATTAAATTATATATCATAATGAAACTCTGTTCAAAATATAAAAAGTAATGAAGCAATGGACGTAAGTGTGTTTATCCTCTACACCTAAGAAATTATAAGTTTGCAGAGAAAAATATCAACAAGGAAAAAATACAATCAGCATTACGATTTGCAGTAAGCATAGCAATTTATACCATATCAGCGTCGCAATTCACGTTATTTTCTTTTCTCGTGTTTCACAAAATAATCACAAAAAAATTTAGTTGAGGGTTATACTAAATTTCATACAAAATTATTACCTGATAATTCGACTCTTAAAATGAACTTTAAATAAACTTGAATTAATTTAAAAATATAATGACAGTCATATTTTCATGTTTCATAATTATGTACCCGTTTTGTATCTAAAGGAGCAGCATTCTTTTATAGCGTTTTACTGTTAATTCTGAGGAATTAAAAAGTTATGGGAGAAAACGTAGCTAACAAATTTTGAGGCCGATTGCATTCTTATATTTTCGCCTAGAGAATTTGCGGAGTTGTGCAATTTCCTTTTGAAATATTCTGTGTATGAAGCACAAATATCAGATATTTTATGTCATTCTTTCCCGTCATCTACAGAATACTCTGAAACGAAGGGTACATAATAAGAAAGTATACGGTACAAGAAAATTTTTTCACAGTTTTGAAATATAAATAATTGAAAATTCACTAATGAATTTTAGTAAGCCAGACTCATTTACAGTTTAAACAAACTTAGTTAATTTCAGTCCATGTACAACATACTGATAAAATAGTTTATGCAGTTACTCGCATTAAATTATGCTATAATTGTTTGGCAGCGATTTTGTGTTATGGAATCATGTCAGAGCGTTTTGATGTGATATGTCAGCTGTTCAATGACGTATTTGCTATTTGACGTGGCACAACATAATTGTGATGAAAAGCTAATTATTGCGTTATGGAACATACATTAGTGTAAGGTGTTATAAGGGTAGAAGAAGAAGCAATTAAGAAAAGATGAAAATACT